TGTCTTTCCTGTGCTGGGGATCCCAGAGCTGGATGCAGGGCTCCAGATGGGGGCTCATCAGAGCAGAGTAGTGGGGAAGAATCACCTCCCTCAACCTACGGCCATGCTGTTTTTGATGCAGCCCAGAATACAGTTGCTTTTCTGGGCTGTGAGCGCACATTGCCGGCTCATGTCCAATTTTTTGTCCACCAGTATCCCTAAGACCTTCTTTGCAGGGCTGCTCTCAATCCCTTCATCACCCAGTCTGTACTGATACCAGGGGTTGCCCCGACCCATGTGCAGGACCTTGAACTTGGCCTTGTTGAACTTCATGAGGTGGAAAGCATTTTGTCAACCTAACAATATCCACTGTAGGCCCATGGGTAGTAAAGGTGAGAAAATTTAAAAAAAAATATCTAAAAGACAAAAGTTGTTATAAGAAAATGTTCCTTGATATTCCCTGGATATGTTCTTAATTGTACACATTAGATGAAAGAAAAGGAGATAAGAAAATAAAGCTTTCATATAGTTTGTGCATTATGTAAGAGAAATTTATTTAACTTTCAAGTAGGTTACATAGGTGATTTTAATGCATTTTCCAAATAGAAAATGTATTTATTGATGATTGACTCCATGATTCTTCAATATCACAGAAGGAAGGAAGATTTAGGAAAAAAAAAAGTTCTGAAGTCCCGAGGCCTAGAAAAATACAAGAATAATGAGCTTAGAAGAGTTAGTGGTCAGAAAGTTCCACCAAAAAGACAGTGAATTAAATTACAGAGTTTTTTTACAGCAAGTCAGGAGCCCAAAATGTGAGTAATACTATAGCAGGATCAATGAGGACAAAGGAAACAGCAATAAGACTGCATACAATGCCAGAACTGCTTATGGGGCAAAATGTATGAGCTAGGAGTTCTCATTTGCAGCCCACACACTGACACAGCATCACTTTTTTTGTTCTCACATGTTCACAGTCAGTTACAAAGCCAACAGCACTTGCATGGCAGCTAAAAATGAGTGTATTTCTTCTTGATAAGGTGCTACACAGGGATATTGCCATGCATATTTTTTAAAGCTAATCTTTTTCTCTGTAGCTTTGACCTACAGCAGATTCCAGCTGTGTTTCTGATAGGTCCTAATCTTCCAAATGCCCACCTAGAACAAAACTAATGAAATATAGAAGAAAACCTTCATAATGAGCATGTAGGGCTTATTGATAGAAATGCGATAGGCAGTACTATTCATTGTGTGACTGACAAATACCTGGAGCAAAATAAGGAGCAATGTCTAAATGTGAGGGTGCATTATTATAATAAGTTTTGTATTTTTAAGCAAGATGGACAAGTGAATTTTCCACAGAACATTTTGGTGCTCTGTGAAAGTTTGCCTTTCTATATAAAGAGCTCATCTATATTTGTTTCCCGCATGCTTCCAAGAATGATGTAGCATCTGAAATTAAAAATATTTTTCAGTAACTATCTTATGAAGGCTATCACTGCTGACAAAACAGGAGAAGAGAATTTTAAGCACGCATTTTTGAGTTGCATGGAAGTGTAAGTTTTGAAGAAACTGTAAATCCCATATACTGAAAGTTGGAAAACATTTCGTTTACAAACAGGCAGAGAAGAAAAGCATGGGAGAGAATAAAACACTGCCACGTTTGATGGCTATTGAGAGGCAGCTCTACTTGTTGCCAAGTGGTTTTACCTTTTTTATGTGGTTATCTTTTGTGTACATAAGTTCTTTGGTTTTGCATGGGTGATTGAGGAAGAGGCCTCAGAAGCCGAAATCTGGCTCGCTGTCAACGGAGCAGTTTTACATTTAAGCACTGAATCAGTCAAAGTGCAGTTTCGCTCCCACACTAGTTCCCCTCTTGCAGAGTGAGAGCAACTGGAATCAGATTACTCAATGGCTCAAAGGGGCATGTGTTGGAATAGTTTGGGCCTAAAATGTAATTGTCATACAATAGTTTTTCTTTATTAGAGGCCTGTTCTAGGGATTATTAATATTACTATTGTTGAGCACTTCTATAAAAGGACTGTTTTCCTTAGTATTCACAAAGAGGCCAGCCTGTTTATTATGTGCTCTTACCTAGAAAGGTTGGACTAGATGATCCTTGAAGTCCTTTCCAACCTATGATTCTATGATTCTATGATTCTACGATTAAATTGTCCTACTCCTGCTCAGTGGCCCCAGTGCTTGCCAGTTTTAGCTGAAAGGTATGTGAGATGTCACTATGTTGCCAGATCATGTAATGATCATAATTTTGCGGAAAAGTTACAATTATGTCAAATCAGAACATATTGCTGTGCTTTTTGGCCAAGGGATTTCCCTTCCTCTTGTAACAGAAGTAGTAACTTTGCAGACAGGAGTATCTAAACACCAGGCTGACAGCAGAGCTGGAGACCCTCCAGCTCCCTCCTCTCCTGGCCACCCTTTTGACCTGCAGGTCGGGATTCTCTCCTGCTTGTCTGAACTGTCACACAAGAAGTGATTACCTACTTTTAAAAATATTTTTTTAAAACAAGTTTGTAAAACTCAGAAGAATCTCACCCTGATAAACCGAAACAAATAAATAAAAAAATTCCACCCCAAACCAACCAACAAACAAAACAGAAGATGGAGCCAGAGAGCAGCTTTTAAAGCAAATTGCCAGAGAAGATGGGGAATTCCATTTGCTCCAACTCCCAAGCTTCAAGTAAGACTAGAGATGAGGAGTTGGAGAAAGTCCTCCAAGACCCTGGTGCAGTATGAAGGCATGGAAAGCGGCTCCACTGTGTGTGAATGCGTCGGCTCGAACCAGGCCTGCTTCTTCCCAGAGATCTTCTGTCGTCATCCTGTGCATGAATACATGAGCCAGTATTATTGTTCATAGACAGGCAGCCTAATGCTGCTCTATCCAAATCAAAGGAGTGAAAGTCAACTCGCATCAAGACATAAAGGCCAAAACTAACAGAGGGAAGGATGTTTCATTTACCATGGTGGCATGCCAAAACACAGAGTAAGAGAAATGACATTAAGAAACAAAGATGAGGTAATACTAATTCAATATAAAGTAAGCTGCATTTTTCACCTTGCTTTTCTCTCTGTGTTACTGATGGATATGCTCCTCCAAGAAAGTTCAAATAAGCCAAGTATACCATACTAGTAACCACACTTTCCACGGATTCAGAATTTATGTTAACAAGAAAAAGAACCTTTAAATGTCATACAAATGTCATATAAATTAATATACTATATAAGTCATATAAATTTCCTTCTGTGTAATTTTTATGACTACCTGCAAAAAGCACATACCAGAGGAGCATCATATAATTCTTAACCCTACATTTTTTTTAATGTAGAAAAGAACTGAATAAGCTTGCTTTTCTTGGCTTCAAATTCAGTTACTAACTTATCTTGCTTTTGGTCCTAACAATATTTTTAATCCATGCAATTTGACCTGAAAGTTATAACAGAAAATGAAAAAAAAACCTGCTAAGAAGTATTTATAAGATTTATTTTCTTGATTTTTTCAATTATATGAGGAAACACTTTTTTAAGCCACCCTAGTTTTATTGCTGTAGGTACTCACTAAATTTGATGTCTACAGCGATTCTAAATTGAAGTCTCTTTGTCATTATGAGAAAATAGTTTTTCTAAAAGTTTTTGATTGAATTGTGTGTGACGACAGTAGATCTGGGAGAACACTCAGGTCCTGTTGGTAATTTCAATGCCTTTTCCACCATTATGACAATATTCTTTTAGCCTGTCAGTTAGAATGCAGGAAGAAGCTCCAGGTTCCTGTCTCACTTTGAAATCTTCCTATTTCTTTTCTGCTTCCCTTTCTCCCCTCTCCAGTTTTCCATGCATTACTTTTTCTTCCATCAGTCATAGCAAAACTGCTTTTGTGTGCAGTAATTTCCCAACCGTATTTCCCCATTTTATAAGGGAGAGTAGAGCATTGACGTCAAGTTTGGACACCTGGTAAAGTGATGCACTAGAGATCTCAAGACACCTTTCTATTCTTCTGTTCTTCATCTTGCAGAGGAAGTCACCATTACAGACAAGCTTTAAAACATGCCCTTAAGATTTTTATCTTGACTGGCCTCTGGAACCTCACTTGCATTGTGGGGTTCTTTTGGTGGTTTTTTTTTTTCCCTGAAGGTTAACTTATTTCCAAAGATCAAACCTTTATATAAACCATATATTTGATTTCAGCATACTATTACCTGGGTTTGGTCCAAAATGCATACCCCCTTTTCAGTGTTTTCCTCCAAACAGTGTCTTAAACCTTGAAGGAATAGTGTTGGACTGAAACTTTTTATGGAAAGGCAAGGTTAATAGGGAAATGTAGTATGTCTCAATAGACAATTGAAGAAAATCCAGCTAATTTGGGGGATACGTAGGACCTACTTCCAGCCCTGTGAACTACACATTCTCCTGTCAACACATTAATTTTCTCCGTTATTTGCTTCCTTAAAGGCCTGTTTGGCAAAAAGTATGCTGGGTATCCCAGGAGCTGGCAGTCTGTTGCCTCCAGCATACTCTCAGCCCCTGTTTATCTGTCAGTGATGCACGGTGCCCAGTCTTGAATGCAAACAACTGCAAAGACAGCAGACCTTGCCAGACTACAGTATTAAAAGACATTTTTAGATACACACCCATTCTGAAAATGATCAAGTATGCCGACATCTTCAAAGAATACCTCACACGTCAAGTAGTGAGACAAGCATGTCTAGCTGTCGGTCTAGCCTAGGACCGCAAGACCATCCATAGCGGTTAAGAGGATTGGTCTTTGCCTCTTTAGTAGTAGTTCTCTTCTAAGAATTGTGAGAAAGACATGTTATCTACTGTGATCACACATCCTCTGGAAAATAGTTTGAGACTGCAGATTCATTTCCTATAAGCCATTATACAGCCATCGGCTGTTGCTGGCTGGACCGTTCCCTCCACAGCACGCTTGTGAAGCTCAAATAGTTTAGTCGAGTAAAGCTTAAATGTCTTGCTGTGGTCCTGCAGATACTGCGTGTGTGTGTAGCATGACACAGATTACTAAACGTGAAAATTTAGTTTCTGCCCCAAAGAATTTACTGTATCGTTCCTCTGTTGCCTGTACCTACTACACGGGCAACGTAAGTGCTGAGTGGGCAATCAGGATTTGTTCTGTTGCTGACACCGCTGGATGTTACTCTCAGAGAAAAAAGTAAACTCCTGATCTTTGAGTTTTTCATACCCAAACTCTTAACAAGTCTCTCCGTTTTTCTGCTGATGGGCAGGAACACTGAACTTTTTCAGAGAGAACTGCTGCTCATCGGCTTAGTTTGGGTAAATTTAAAATTACAGCTGAAATAACGCTTTCCAATCTGCTTATGACTTCTGTGATGTAGGACACTGGTTCAGGCATGGAGTGTGATTTTCCAGAATCTTTTGAGACAGATTATGAAAGTTTGGTGTATACCTCAGGAAGAAGTTTTTTTCACTGGCTTTAGCACAGAGCCTTGGGTAAGTTATCTGACCTTCTTGGACCTCAATGAATCCATCAGGAAAAGTGAGTGAAAAGTAGCATCTTGCCGAAAATGAGCTGCTGGGGAAGTCTCTTGCGCTTCCCTTAGGAATAAGCTCTCTGATGGTGAATTTTGCTGCCGTCATGCAAGCAGCCCTGCCATACTGCAAACCTGCTACCAACCCCTGTCTGCCGCAAGGCCCTGTACCGACCATTACCCCCAACCGTTACCCCCTGACCGTTACCCCCTGACCGTTACCCCCGACCGGGCCAGCCCCGCGTTTTAGTTGGCCCATTTTTAACGCCAAATACTTAAATTCACATAGAAATCGTTCAATTAAGTAAACATCATGTGATGCGGAGAATACTGCACAAAGTTTAATACAACAAGGTCCCACTGTAGGAGCCAAAATCCCGTCTTTCTCTCATGTGCTGACCTTCAGTCCCGAGATAACCCCAGGTAGGAAAAAGTCCTGTAAACAGAGGGGAGCGATCGCCCCGTTTAATCTTTGCTCCCCGTTCTTTGGCAAACGGGTTTGTAGCAATGCGCCTGGAGGCTGGACAGCACAGCAGCGACAGGACAAGGGGCAATGGGTACAAACTGAAACATAAGAGGTTTCAGTTGAACATGAGGAAAAACTTCTTTACTCTGAGGGTGACGGAGCACTGGAACAGGCTGCCCAGGGGGGTTGTGGAGTCTCCTTCTCTGGAGATATTCAAAGCCCGCCTGGACAAAGTCCTGTGTGACCTGCTCTAGGAGAACCTGCTTTAGCAGGGGGGTTGGACTAGATGATCTCCCGAGGTCCCTTCCAACCCCTGCCATTCTGTGATTCTGTGATTCAGCCTAACCGTGCCAACGGAGGAGCCCCAGGCACTTGTCAGAAGCAGGAGACGTCCACCCGGCTGCCCCCCGAGGCGTACCCGCGCTCGGCCCGGGCAGCCCGCGCTCCTGGGAGGGCGGCCATTGAAGGAGATGTGTGTTTGAACCACCGTCTGGCCAAAGGTTTTCCCCCGCAAAGGCGCGCCGCTGCAGCTCCAAACTGCGAGATGG